CCTTTCATTTGCGTTTGGCCAAAGTCAGCTAAGTGAGTATGGGTGCATATATGCAGGTATGTACATATCTAAGTACATACATATATACAATGTATGTATATGCCTTCAAGTATCGCACTACATCCTTAATTGTAACCAAAACTGTATTATATAAAATATTTTTAAAGGGTTATTATTCTTAAATGGTAAGAATGGGATCAGCATATGACCGGGGCTACAAGAAGGTCTCATCACCAAAGGGTGCTCTCAACCATCATGCATAAAGAGGTTAGATAGCTCAAGGTCCGAGCATATCGTAGAGTAGTTGAACATTTTCGTAAATACAGGCTTGCTAGAGCGTAGCAATACCAAGAAACTCGAGACCGCTACCTTAGAAATACCTCTCTGCTATTTTAAGTTGTCCGCCTTTAAATAGAGAGACATGAGCGTAATATTACCAGTGAAGCTTCAAAAAGCTTCGGCGTTAAAACAAAAGTAATATTTGTTCTTAAATTTAGAAATCAGGGTCATTCTGAGGATTTGTTTACCAATAAGCCTAATTCCTTTCGTACTACCAATGTTTAAGATACTTATATATGCATGCCAGGGACATGGCTCTGAACTTTTAGTCGAGCTGTCATCAACGCAATTAGATTACGTGGTTACGTGGTATTGAAACAAATTTCCCAAGCCGCTATAATTGAATTCGGGCAGGAATGGAGAGCAGGGTTGTCTTTACAGACAGATCAAAGATGGAATGTAGGTTAAAGAGGTCGTCAGTCATATGCACTCAAGAAAACGTTGTTGAACATTTCCTCAGATAACCGTTCGGCAATTCAGGCATTACAAGCTTTCTCGGTTAGGTCACAGCTAGTAGAGAATTGTTGGAGAGAGTTAGCCTCATCCATTTACTTTAATATGTAAGGCCGTAAGACATGTAACGGAATGAGCTAGCGGATGAGCTAAGGAAGTGCGACTCGGCACTTTACATGCCGGACGTACGTTTGGTAATTCGAGGTCTAGTCTGGAGAGGTAGAAGTTTAACCTTCGACAGTATCCTGACAATAATTGAGCTAGAGCTTCCTCTTGGCAGCTGAAGCTCTTCTCCTGCAATTGGTGTGGATTAAACTCCTATGACGACATTCCCCGGACGGGAGTTGGTAAAGGTGGTGATGGCCTGGTGATGGGCAAAAAAATGCTTGCACTGTCCCATCCATCGTTTGCTATTGAGCCAAAACAGAGGGCCGAGACAGAAAGATTCTATCAATTGCCGCTCTGCTCAATGAACTTCTACCAGTTTGCAGTACTAAGCATAGGCAGCGCCTTCCGCTTCTCGTCCTTTCATTGTGTCTCAAGGCTTTTCAGGTCCTTTATTGGATGCAGACGACTCTAAACCTCAACGCAAAATGCATTTCCAAGCTAGGTTTTGTAAAGATTCCCATTCATATAGCGAAATTCTATATACGGGATGGACGCCCGCTTATGACACAACTTGCTTAGGATATATGCTGCTGACTTCTGTGAGTGATCACAACAAGGCGGATTCTCTTTCTGTCGGAACTCTACGTTATTCGTTACCATTCGTTTCACAAAGCGCACGAGGGAGCGCGTATGGGTCGTTCATCGACCCGTTAGGCACTCAAAAACCGTAGCATAGCTAGGCTGAGAAATCGATGTATAAAGGTATAAAGACTTCTAAGTTCGGATCTGAGAAAATATTCAACATTCGAAGTGCCCTCGTATTTCTACTACAGTCAATAGAAGGCAGATCCGGGACATAGACTGGGTTAAACTTTCTAAACATTGTTGTCCCCATTCAATTAATACCAAACGGATGAAGTCTATTAACCCTGTAGCACGAACAGAGATGAAAGAGTACGCCTACAAAGCATCCGATGCAGTTTAAGGCATAAAAAAATGTACATACATAAATGTGTTCATCTAACCTCGAGAGACTTGCTGCCTATCAATCGAAAAGTGTTAAGCGATTTGTAATACCTAAAAGGCCTGTCAATCGCATTCACACATGCAAACTGTCACTTTAACTCTACTCAGCTCATCAATAGATGAATAGATGCATTGTGAATACTTGGCAGGCCATCCAGCTAGCAAATGTTTGTCGCTTGTATGAAAGAGCAAGAGCAAGAGCAAGAGCAATGAGACAAAAAAGAGACAGATAGTGGAATATGAAATTTGACAACGCACTTTAAAGGCGACACACACTCACTCATGTTACTAAGTCGTACCCTCCATGTGAGTATGACATGCAGCAATGCGAAAATGCACTTAATGTGTCAAGACGGGGCGCAAAAGTGAAGGGTTAAGAGCGTAATGTAGGTATCTGGATGATATATGGAGGGAGTGGATGTATGTAAAAGCAAAAACAAGTGATGCATTGAACATGTCATAAGCTCTTATGAGCGCTACTGTTGACGCTTTAGGCTTGGAGCATTGGCAGCAGCAAAGTGAATGATATGATGCGGCATTTTTGTACGAACTGTGCGCCATGGCTCAATCAAATTTTCAACACCTGCCAAGCACACTCACATGCAGTACGAGTGGCATAGGCAGAAATTGGTGGAGAGTGATAAAAGTGAAATGACAAGCAAACAACGTCATACCTGTCATATTAAAGTCAACATATACATATATACATATGTGTTGGTAAACGAATGATGAGAACATAGCGAATTTAGTAGGTAAAATAAGACGCGCTGCTGGTACTTACCGATAGGCAACGATTTTTATAAGAATAGATTTTAAACGACTTCATAAAATTTACACGCATTCTGCCAAATAAATATTTTCCTTGTTGAAAACTTAAGCATCTTTTCGAGAATACACCTGTTGTACTTACACATATGTACACACACACACACACATACTTTTAAATTTGATATGCCAGAATGCTTAATGAGGTTAAGCATATTTCACATTCTCGCGAAAAAACCCGTAGTCAGCTTGTCTTAACTGAGACGCAAGCGGTGCTACTAAATACGACAGCTGTTTCGTTCGTTGTTTGTAAATATCAGTGACGGACATACGTAAGTACTTTTGTATTTAGTGAACCCGTTTGGGTGCGAAGTACTCAAATGCTTAGTATTTGGAGATGTCTAAATATTCCAGTAAACAAAATTTAGGTACTTAAAAAATACTTAGGTATTTAGAAGCTGTTAGAAACTTAAGTAAAAAAATTTAAGTATTTAGCGCCTGCTGGTCCTTTGTGGATGCAAAATACATACTTTCATTCAAGTACTTACTAAGCTATTTAGTACATGTATCTGTGGTCACAAGCAAATAACCGCCGAAGTCGACTTAAGAAAGAATGGAGCCACATATATGTATATTCTATCGTATTTTTAAACCCCTATTCCATGCGTACGTGAAATTAGGCAGTTATTGCCAATAAACTTAGGCGGTTACTGCTTATGACCACAGATATATACATATATAGATAGCTAAATACTCGCAAACTAAGTACTTTATCATTTATGAACAATTTTAACAATTAAAACCTTACCATACACGCACCTCACTTCAATCCATAACACACAAACTCACCACACCTTATCCTACCACACCTAAATTCACCACACGTTCGCTCACCACAACTGAACTCATCGCACCCGCTCCCGCCACACCTCACCTAAACTCACCACACCTCAGTTTTGGGAACCGTTTCGGGATTTTAGAGACACGCGATTTGTTATCAATACTTTTATCGGTTTTGTTATCGATTTTGCTATTAATTTTGCTATCGATATCTTTTTCTTAGAGTGTACTTTCGTTTTTGACTTGGATGTGCTCTTAACCATACCACGTATTCTACGTTTAAATTTAGCAACTGTGTTTCCGATACAGCCTGCAGACCAAGACGGAGGCGCTGGGCTGTTCCTTTTTTTTTTGCTTTTCTATTATCTTTTTACATAATCTGTGTTTGTTATTTTTATAGCCTTATAACAATTATATTCAACAATTTGTATGAGCTTGAGGCCGTTTTAAGTGAAAACTTATTGTGGAAAAGCAACAATAATAATTTTTACATAATCTGTAGATCTTAATATATTAAAAACAATTATTTTATTGAACTTTTAAGTTATTAGATTATTTATGTTTACCAAATAGTTTAAAAATCCAATTAATTAATCCAGGTTAATTATGAATAAGAAAAAGTAAACAAACAAATGTCAAATTACACTTCAAGTTTCTTAAACACCCCAATGAGAACACTTGACAGCTGTCCATAAACGAAAAACGTTAAACTCCAGTGAACATAGTATAAACGTTATAGCGACATTCTAAGAAACTTTTAATGGCCTGAGTCATGATGACATGGACTTGAAGAATATGTGATCTCTACAGGATGGGGCCACTTGTTTTACACAGCACATAAAGCAACTTTGAGTGCAACAGTAGCGAAGATGATAATGATGAAAACTTGCATGCCAATGAATAACGCGATAATTAAATATACGAATATAAAATATAAAGCGAAAACAAAAAAAAAAAAACAATAACAAAAACAAAAGCACCATATGAATTTATGTAATCTCTTGCGGGAGCTCGAAATGAAACAAACATATACAGTGCAACAAGGTAACAAAAAAATGAGCTCAACACATAAAATTAACAAAACTAAAAATAATTATTGAATGGTAACACTTGTTAAAAAAACTCCACAATGTGAATTCGCTAAGCATATACACGATTAAGATTATATTAGCACTTATTGTAGCGCCGTAAATAAAAGACTTATTCCGCGAGGAGCACAAGTAAAGAGCCACCGCACAGTAAAACAGTTTCCAGAGTTATTTTTAAATTAGCGGCTTCCTTTGCTTTGGATAAATAAATTTCAGCATTGTTTAATAAGACAAAGAAAACTTTATTCTTTAAAAACACAATGTGCACTCACAAAAATTCATTAAAAATAAAAAAGTAGTAATCGAAATTATAAACTAAAAAATTTCTCGCTATAAAAGCGGCTCCGTCACACTTGAAGATTATTAGTTACCAGAATAACTTCTAACCAGCGCGAAAAGGTGTTTTTTTCATTCTGTAAACATGAAATTTTTTGTCTGCTTATTAGCGCTGACTCTCTTCCTGTATCTTGGTCAAACTCAGGCACAATGCCCCAATACGCCACGTAAGTAGTATAAATACATTTAACAATATTTGTACATATCTTTTCTCAAATATTTGTTATATTCCTAGAGCACTATAGTTGTAGTGGAGGAGCTCATAGCGGCAGTATCGCCGATCATTGCCGTGGTGGTGTAAGGTGGTGGTATAATTCTGGTAGTGGAAGATGCGCTAGCTTCTATTATAACGGTTGTGGTGGCAATGCGAACCGTTACTGTTCACTTGCAGCCTGTCAGCAAAGATGTGCGTACCATGGCTAGGATATGAGTGGCGGCGAAAAAGTGTACAATAAATCAGTACAAAAACTAATCGCCAGTTATATATGTACATCTTTATGTGTTTTGATTTCAATTTTAATTACTTTTTAAATGATATTTTAAGGTAATAAAAAAACTCGGTAGTCTGAACTTAAAAAAAAAAAATCAAACAATATTGAGGGACCAAAACGATTGCTAAGAGGAAGCATCATCGTCTCGGTCAGAACATTCATTCAGGTTGGTCAATATTTATACGTGATAGTCATTTCCAGTTGTAATTAGTTCGCACTTTGGAATCGGTCATGTATATATTTATGTAAATGATAAGCGGCATCTTTCGAAAGGACCGTGAGTCAAAAATATTTTGGAACGAAACGCCGTAATCGGTTTGCCGCCAAACCAAAGCCGGGGGAAATTCATACCAAAATACATAGAAAGGATGATTCAATCTTTCCAAAACACACTTTACCTTCGTAACGGAGAGAGGCAAAAAGCGATAATTTTTGGCTCCAGGCTTGATCCAAAAAGCCTTCGAAGTACCAAAGGAAAAGAAGGAGATCGACAGCAATGTGAGAATCCTTTCAATCCTCCTTCGACGCACTTATTGTGGATCTGGAAGCTCTCGTTTGGTAGTACGCATCACTGGTCGTTGAGATCTGTAATCTAGCGCAGCTCTCTGCATGGTCTACGTGCTGAAAGGATGGATTCACGAACAGCAGGTTCTCAGAAGCCAGCGCCTGTATGACCTTAATTTTCTCAATTGTTTCTGGTTTTACACCTTTCGCAATTTCTCTGTTCCAAAAAAGAGTTTATTTGCATATTTTTAATATGGGCGATTCCACCGTCACGGGTTGGACACTTGTACAGAAAAGAATTTCTTACTTGTTTAAATTTAAGTATAACGTACTCAACACTTCTACATTTTGATAAAGCTACACCTAATTGACTATTATATGAGTTATTATAAAATACACTCTAAAAAATCTGTTTAAAAATGCGACTTTAAATCGAGTATATTTTTGTTTATTTTTAAAATTTTTCGGTAAATTTACACGATGAATATGTATTTTTCTCGTTTACACATTTTCGTGTGTAAAAATCCTTTTCGTTAGCGGCTTTACACCATTCTACGGGTGAAATCAAACGGCAGGTGTGTATTTTGTAGCTTGTACACACTTTTGTAGTAAATTTACGCACACCACAGCAGCTATATTATGCTCTAAAAAGTCCGAAATTTAAACAAACTATTCGTTGAATAATCGAGCATGTAATTTTGCAAATAATAAGGTAGGAAATCAGTAACCTACTTTTTAGCTAGGAAATCTACACAATTTTTTTTTAGAGTGTACGAAAAAAATTCCAGCATTCTTTTATTTGGGAAAAATCTGATTTATTTCTTCTGTCACGGGTGGGACAAAAAAGAACCTGCTTTTTGGAGCAGATATATTTTACGGAAAGTCTGCGAATTTATTTCACTTCTCTGTTTGAACTTGATGTATTGTAATAAAACAAAGAACCGGGAACACAAACAAAGCAAAAACTACAAAAAAAAGATGGCTTTATTATACAAAAAATCCGAAATTCCTCTGTCACGGGTGGGACAACGTTTGTCACGGGAAGGACACGTACAAATTTGTATATGAAAAGGAAACTTTAGTGTGGTCCATATATAAAGAATAGTTATTAAAAAATATAAGAAGCCAAGTAGGGATTAAATTAACTCACGTTTTATCTTAAGATGGTTCCTTTTATATAGAAAAAAAAGCTTAGCACCGTCAGCCAAAAAAATTATTAAAAATTAACACGATTTCCTAGCGTCTTGAAATTTTCACTTAAATTTAATGGACTACAAAACTGCATACCTAAAAAATCTGAACAAAAAGTTTAAAATTTTTGGGTGTATTCGTTAAATCTTGTTGAATTTTTATAATTTTTGTAAGAAGTTGGAAATGTGGATTTATGTGGTTCTGGTTAGGTAATGTGCTAGATATTTATGAAAAAAAAGTATAAACATTAAATTAACAAAACAAAAATCCAAAACTGGTCAAAATGTAACTTAACTTAATCAGCTGACCACAAGGGTATATAGATAATGGACGAGTCCGCACATCCCCCCTTCCTACCCTGTGTCTACCACAACAAATAAATTAAAGCTTATCAGCCCTGTAAACCTGCCTCTGACAACTGTCCCACACATAGCTGTCACGGGTGGGACATGCTTCTCTGTTGAATTATTCTTATCTAACTACGTGCAAATGACAATGCGATTGTGGTAAATATTTGCAATGAATTTCCAAAATTATGTAACAAACACGAAACACAACCTCAACTTCTGTAATTAAATATAACAACTTTTAGCTTTTTTTGTCACGGATGGAAAAAGACCAATTCTACTTAATAATAACTCAAATATAGATAAAGCAGTCACACAATTTAATATACAAGTAATTTTTAGCAAAAAAAAACCGACTTCAACTCTCATATAAAAAAAAATATATATATATATATATATCTCAAGATCCGCTGATCGGATCTTAACCAGATTAGTATGGGACCACCTCCGAGACACTACCTTTCCGATGCAAAAAGAATTATCGAAAAAAAAAAAAAAAAAAATATTCCGACGAACTGATAACCTCCTCCTTTTTTGGAAGTCGGTTAATAACACAATTACATTAAAAGCAGGTGAGTTCTACTATATATTTTTCTTACCAAACACATGAATTATGAATCGCAAATTATTTGACAGTGCATTCAACACAATCTACTTTAAACTCAATCAAAAAATTTACTTAGAACTTGATTTCAAAGCGTAAAAAAAGGTAATGAAAATGCATTTACAGCTTTAATTTGTTATTTTTTGGTTGTTTCAAGAATTTTACAAATGTCCTATCCACACGTTTGTTAGTTTTATAAAGAAAGTAATTTTTGCACAGAGGTACACTTTCCCATGGAACCTCCCATAATCTGTAGATCTTAATGTATTGAAAACAATTTTTTTTATTGAATTTTTACGTTATTAAATTACTCATGTTTACCAAATAGTTTAAAAATCCAATTAATTAATCCAAGGTAATTATGAATAAGAAAAAGTAAACAAACAAATATCAAATTAAACTTCAAGTTTCTTAAACACCCCAAAGAGAACACATATCACAAAACATTAAACTCGAGTGAACATAGTATAAACGTTATCGCGACATTCTAAGAAACTTTTAATGACCCGAGTCATGATGACATAGACTTGCAGAATATGTGATCTCTACAGGATGGGGCCAGTTGTTACATAGCGCATAAAGAACCTTTTGTTGCAACAGTAGCGAAGATGATAATGATGAAAACTTGCATGCCAGTGGAGAACGCTATAATTAAATATACGAATATAAAATGTAATGCGAAAAAAAACAATAACAACAGAACCATATGAATTTAAGAGTTTACCTCTTACGGGAGCTCGAAATGAAACAAACATAAACAAAGCAACAAAGCAATAAAATCAGCTCAACACAGAAAATTAACAAAACTAAAAATAATTATTGAATTGTAACGCTTGTTAAAAAAAAAAAATCCACAATGTCAGCTCGCTAGGAATATACACGATTAAAATTATATATTATATATTAAATATTATATTAGCACCGTGAGGAGCAAGTGTAGATCCGCCGCACAGTAAAACATTTTCCAGAGTTATTTTTAAATTAGCGGCTTACTTTGCTCTGAATAAATATAAATAAATTTCAGCTTTGTTTAATACAACAAAGAAAACATTATTGTTTCAAAACACAATGTGCACTCACAAAAATGCATTAAAAATAAAAAAGGTAGTAGTTATCGAAATTATAAACTAAAAAATTTCTCGCTATAAAAGCGGCTCCGCCACACTTGAAGATTATTAGTTACCAGAATAACTTCTAACCAGCGCGAAAAGGTGTTTTTTTTCATTCTGTAAACATGAAATTTTTTGTCTGCTTATTAGCGCTGACTATCATCCTGTATCTTGGTCAAACTCAGGCACAATGCCCCAATGCGCCACGTAAGTACTATATACATTTAACAATATTTTCACAAACAAAGTGCAACGCAAATTTTATATGTATATATATATATATAGTATGTATCCTTTCCCAAAAATTTTTTTATATTCCTAGAGCATTATAGTTGTAGTGGAGCAGCTCATAGCGGAAGTATCGCCGATCATTGCCGTGGTGGTGTAAGGTGGTGGTACAATTCTGGAAGTGGAACATGCGCTAGCTTCTATTATAACGGTTGTGGTGGCAATAATAACCGTTATTGTTCCCTTGCAGCCTGCCAGCAAAGATGTGCCTACCGTGGCTAGGATATGGGTGGCGGCGAGTTTCCCCCTTAAACTTGCATAAATGCATACATAGACCGAAAAGATTTATAATAAATCAGTAAAAAAATCAATCCGCAGTTATATATGCACATTACGGTCGTCCTTAATGTAGGAAGCAAATTTTTACATCTGATTTCCTAATTCTCAACCCCTATGTCGATGCTATATTAGTCGAAGATATCACATTTAAAGTTGGGTCCCGATTGGAGACGGTTAAAGCCTGTCGCACAGGGGGAAAAATTCAGATTACCATAGAAGACGTCTTAACCTGCTCCAATCGAGACCAAATATTTGTATGTGATATATAATATCGATTTTGGGTATTAAATGAAAAAAAAAAAAAACATTTTTTTTTAATTTTTTGAGTCTCCATGGAGCTTGTGGCCTTCGGCCTATTTGCGACACGCCTTGACGGACTGCAATCGGGACCAAAATTTATACATATGTGATATCTTCGAGTACGGTGGTAACAATTTTTTGAGTCTCTATAGAGGAATCTTAACTTTGGCCCCTGTGCGACACGCCTTATCCGTCTCCACCGCGGTATTGCCGATTGAAGGGGTGAGACTGAAAAAAATCGCTCATTTGATTTTTAAGGATCATCCTAATGTACATATTTATGTGTTTTGATTTAAATTTTTAATACTTTTAAAAGGATATTTTACAGTAAAAACAAAAAGATATCCAAAAAATATTGAAGGACCAAAACGATTGCTAGGAGCAAGCATCCTTGTCTCGGTCAGAACATTCATTCAGGTTGGTCTATATTTATATGTGATAGCCATTTCCGGTTGTAATTAGTTCGCACCTTGGAATCAGTGATGTATATATTTATGTAAGTGAGAACCGGAATCTTTCGAAAGGACCCTGATTCAAATATTTTTTGGACGAACGCCTTAATCGGTTTGCCGCTAAACCGAATCTGGCGGAAATTCGTACCAAAATACATAGAAAAATGCTTCAATCTTTCGAAACACACAATTTACCTTCGTAACGGAGAGAGGCAAAAAGCGAAGTTTTTTGCTCCAGGCTTGATCCAAAAAACCTTTGAAGTACCAAAGGAAAAGAAGGAGATCAACAGAAATCTGAGAATCCTTTCAATCCTTCTTCGACGCAATTATTGGGGATAATAAAGCTCTATTTTGGTAGTACGCATCACTGGTCGTTGGGATCTGTAATCTAGCGCAGCTCTGTGCAGACTGTGGTTTCTCAGAAGCCAGCGCCTGTATGACCCTAATTTTCTGAATTGTTTGTGGTTTTGCAACTTTCGCAGTTTCTCTGTTCTAAAATTGAGTTCAATTAAAATGCAATCGCATATGTATATTGCATATTTTCATTATGCAATCAAAAACAAACTAAGCATCAACTTTGATTCCGATGCGCCGATTATTCTAGCGATGCGATTCGATACCTTTCCGGATGCGTTTTGGAAAAGTATACATTGTCAACCATTTGTAGTTCGGCGTTATGCAACATTATACTATGTACGTATGCAATGCAATTGACTTTTCGGAATTCAGCCTGTCTGAAAGGATACCTGTTATTACTTATAAATATTATACCTTCCGAATAAAGTATTTTTCTATCACAGTGCCAATAACTTATCCCTGTTAAGACTGCTCAATGCGTTCTTCTCCTTCCTGAACTCCTTCTTAATAGTATTGGTAGCTAGTACATTCAGGAATTTCTTTGGCCAATTAGAGTGATAGTCAGCTATCTCATTTCCTTCTGTTCTCTTGTGGCTTGATACTTGTTACAACTGGATATTGGTATTCCTAACAAGGGAGTCATCAATGCATTCAAGGTCTAATGATGATTTGATTTCATATAATATGAAAGCGCCTGGCAATTACTTAGTATTAAGATTCCCTCATTTCGGTACCTCGTAAGAAAATTTAGCTTCTCTCTCAGAAAGGTGGTGTAAACTCCCGCCTGGAATATGATCGGATAGTTTCTTTTTAATAGGAACATACATCTAATTTTTTGGATTCGAGGATCACTTCCCATATTCCCTATGGAGTTTTCGATCCGTCTAGGTGGCAATGCAGGGTTCCAGCCTTAAATTTTCCAGGTTGCTGGATTGCTAACTATATGGATTTACCTACATCATCTCTCGAGAATAGTGCTAGGGGGAGCGAAGACGCTAGCTTTTCCAAATTCCCAAAGATATTTATGACATTTCCTTTCCCAAATAACTCTCTTGCCAGATGCTCACATACCATTAACGCTTTCGTGGCTACAAAGTAAACCTAATATAAACAAAGAAGCCTAAAATTACACTACAAATATTTAAGGGTTTTTTTTCAAAGGACAATAACCCCAGCATAAAAGATATCAAAGTGAACTAAAAGAGCATTATCAAGGAGAAGAGTTCAATTTTAAAATGCCGCATCGAGTCTTCTATAAAAAAGGCGTTAGTACCACGTACGCATGCAGTTTTATGTGTAAACATCTGTGTACGGCTTGGCAAGTTACAGGCGACTCAGTTACATACATAATGGGTTAGAAGACAGACATTAATTTTATGCATTTTGTCGGGACCGGTACCAGTAAACGCCTTTTCCATAACCTCTTCGAGAATAATTCAGGACTATTTCTGGATCATTTCGTGACTAACTTTGTACTACACCGAAATGATCGCGAACAAGTCCCAAAATTGTTCCGAAGTAGTCGTGAAGTGGTTTTGAAAAAGCCGTGAACTTGTCTCGAAATCATCTTGAACAAGTCTAGAAGCGATCCCGAAATGGTCCCTAGAAGGATGCGTAAGGTGACCACCTTTCCTTTTGAAAAATCCGGTACAGTAAAATGAATTTCGTTCATTCTGAGATATATTTTATTTATTACGTAAATGTTGTAAAATCCATTACAAATTTAATTTGAAGCAAATTATACAGTATTGGCCAAATCTATAGCACCCTCATTTAGAAGTGATATTGTTTGCCACGTTTAATCTCGACTTATTTAAAAAAAAAAAACATTTTTAAATGACTTCCCGCACTGAAAAATGTTCACCTGTTAATTTTTACCCAATTTTAAGTTTTATAGTCTTTAGAAGGAAAAATTTTTGTACTATTTAAAGAATAAATAAGTTTTGTGAGCACATTTTAAAAGTGTTGAAAGTTGTTGGAATAAGTCTGAAGTCAACACAAATTTGTATTATTTTTCCCACTTCTACAACATTTTGTACAAAATTTCAAAACAAACTGGTCTCTTTCAATCATTACTTCGAAAAGAATGTGCAATTCCGAGTAAAACCAGGTGCTATTTATAAAAATCAATGGACAATTTCCGAAGTTATGAACTTTCTTAAGGTTTTTCCAAAATCACTTCGATGTAGTTTCACAGAAAAATTGAATCAGTTAAATGGGATTCATTTTGAGGTTTGAATAGTTCGTATAGAAATATTTGATAGTATGCTTTTCAGATTGAACTTTTCCATTGCATTGTTCAACAAATTTACTACAACATCTGAACATTCGCCGCCTTCGGAAGTCAATTCAATAATTTTAATTTTCACTCCACGCTTTCTTGACATTTTTCACTTTCTTATTTGAGCTAGTGGAAGTAGGAAGTTATCGATATTGTCAATAAAATAAAGAAATAACTTGGTCGTTACACGATCAAGATCTTGGTTTCAAGTTGCAATACACTCACACTTTTTTACTAACACACACGCACGTTTACAACTTGAACGTCGATTTGATATCAATTTTTACTTTCAAGTCATGTAGCAACTTGAAAGTCAAGTCAAACAGCTGATTAATTATTTTTTTGGCAAAATGTACATATGTACCTTTACATATTCCGGTACATTTGCTTGTACCCAAACCTTCGTTTCGGTACACGGTACTGAACCAAAAGTTTCGGTACTGTACCGGAGATTTAGGTACAGGTGGTCACCTTAAGGATGCGGCTCCCGAATACGCGCTGACATCACTTTGGAATGGAAATCTGCTGAGTGTCCAGAGACACCCACATCTCTTTCTTTGGTCAAAGCAGAGGCTTCGCTTTAGCGATGCCTATTGTTGAATAACGGTACTTTGTTCATGAACTTTGAAAATAATTGCTCACAAACAGCCGAGGCAAATGACCTTACGCTACTTTCAAAACTACCAATGATTTTAAATTAAATACAAGACTACATGTCATAACTTATGTATAATCTAGTTCTAATTACAAGATGTTGTTACTTCAGATATTAGTAAATTTAACGGGTACTAGATCAGACTAACTTTACGAACACACGCTTTTTCTTCATTTTTGCGCGCGTTGCCGCATTTGCTAAGCAGCTTTTTTTCAGAAATATTATTTTTTAAACGTACCGGTTCAAAAAAATCCAATCTGCTAATATGTCCAAAGGAGATTTCCCTCGGCTACACATTGCCAAAATATCTAACAATAACCAGTATAAAAAGACACTTGAACGTTTTCATCCAAACACATGGAATCCATTTTTAGACTTTACTGAAAAAGACACGGAACAAGTGATCAAGTGTTGCCAGTGTTGGTCAGTGTTGCCATTTTAGCCGTTTTCCGGCTAGATTTAGCCGGTTGCGATAGCAAACAGCCGGAGAAATTTCGATTTAGCCGGCAGCCGTTTGTTAGCCGTTGTGCAGAAAAAAATTAACCGTTTTTAGCCGATTTTGCTATTTGCCTTGTTTTCTTAAATTTCAAATATGTATATATGTTTCCGTTTTTGACTAAGCGACCCAAAATCTGTTAGAAATGGCTACTAGCCTTATCGTGGAGAAAATTTTCATGTCAGGCAGGGTTGTATGAAATTGGGCCGATTTCGCTTATTTTTATTTTAAACGAAGAAGGGATTTTCTTCATAAAATGTTTGTTATAAATGTCTTAATTTTAAGCAGGGACGTGAACCGGATGAATAATTTGGTCGGTTCGGTTCAGCGGTTCGAAAAACAAAAAAAAAATAAGGCGCAAATTTAAGTGTCAAGTGTCAAGTGCAACAAAATGCAAGGTTAAGGGTCAAGTGAGATGGGCTGCCTTTACATTTGATATTGTCACATGGTAAAAAACAACAAAAATTAACAAAATTA